AAGAAGAAGAAGAAGAAGAAGAAGAAGAAGAAGAAGAAGAAGAAGAAAGAAGAAGAAGAAGAAAGAAGAAGAAGAAGAAGAAAGAAGAAGAGAATGTAGATCATGTGTTATATGTTTTTACGTTTGACTGAACAACCTCCCCCAAATCCACATAAAGTAAAATATGACCTTTCATAAAGTTATGTTCAAACCAATGAATACAAGCATCCCCTAAGGTGATTAGGGGAGAGCCCAGCCAAAGACAGCAAGAGAAGGGAAAGGAAGACAGGGAGGAAGGTGCCATGCCTGGGGGAAAGAAAGCCAAGGAAACGGAACAGGCTGAAGCAGCAGACAACAGATGAAGAGGGCTGGCAGTTTTTGAACTGGGGAGGCTTGTGAGCGGCTTATTAAACATCCCGAGAAAGGTGTTTTGCTGGTACCCTTAAAGGGTTTGAGATAAAGTAATCATAGATTCCTGCGGAGAGGGTAAGGAAGGGATTGCCAGCAGGGAGCGTCAGTGGGCCCAGCCCCTAGTGAATGGACCCCAGGGGTCGCGGTGGGGGCACTCCACTGTCTAAATGAGGGAAAGAGGAAGCATCACCCCTAGATGACTGTCCTGGTGTCTGTGGTCTTTGGACAAGTGTGGAAGGTTCCTGCTCTCTGGCGACTCTCTCTGTACCTAGGTGGGAAAAGTCCATGATTCTAGAGGACAAAAACAAAGGATACCCCCCAAAACTAGAGAGAAACCTATTTGGGGTCACGCTGTACAAAGATGGGTGGTAACTTCTGGCTTCTCCTCCCCCAGCACCCTCCTGGTGGAAAGAGCTCTGTTCCCTACACTTGCAGGCGGGCAAAAGCCGAGTGGCAAAGGGTGTTGGTGGCTGAGTTGAGTGAGAACGGAATGAGGAGTGCTGGGGGAAGCGTGTCTGCAGAGCGCGAGTGGGTGGGACAGGGGTAGTGTGCAGCTGTGTCTGGGGGCACGGGAGTGGAGCTGGGGGGGGGGGGGGGGGGGGGGGGGGGATGGGGGGGGAAGGTGGAACTGGGG